TATGCCAAAAATATGATTCTTGTCAGTTAATCGTGCAATTTGGACCATCAATAGTGTCCTATTGTAACACAATTAAATTGTTTACTTGTTTTGGATGCAAGATTGATAATAATTTTTCTGGTTTATAAAATGTATTTTTTTAACATTTGAATCAGCTGAAATTTTTTAATATTACTATCATTGTTTTGTATATTTGTATAATTAACAAATATTGTTATTGTTTAGGTAAACGCAAATCCCGTGAATCATGCAGACACTTTGGTCCAGCTCCAGGTGTACCCCACAGCCACACTAAGCCATACGTACGCTCCAAGGGACGCAAGTTTGAACGAGCTCGTGGTAGGAGACGTGGATGTGGTTTCAAGAAATAAACATCTTTTCTTTTTACTTAATAATAAATCTTTTATTATATATTTTGTGAAAATAAAGGGATTGTTGTCGACAAATACACTTGAAATATTTTTAATAGTCACAAACAAAAATTAAGTCAAAGTATTTTGATTCTTAGGGTGGTTTAAAAAATTGACAAAAAATGAGAAAACCACAATAAAATATAATATAAAGAAAATAAGTAAAAACAACCAATAAGCTTAAAACAAACTTATACAAGCGAGCATTATTACAATGAATGCTTTTAAGACTAGAATATGGTAAAACAATTATTATATTAATACAATTTAGTAGAAATACTTAAAATTGAATTTTGTGAGAATATTTCTTTTGTAATTTTCCATTTTTATACCTTGAAGTCTGGCCAATAATTTATTTGGTATCTTGTTGTACTGCCTTCAAACAACCTGTCAAGCCACATAGGTAACCCATCTAGCAAATGTTCTGTTCGAATTTCTTCTTCTTTATCCTATAAACAACACATAAATATTTTATACAGTCGTAAAACAGTTCACAAGGCAAAAAGTAGACTTATATGGTGGAGCATAAATAACACTAACAACGGGTAATGCCAATGCACTCAGTTTTTGTTCTTTATTTTAATTGAAGAATTCAACTCACTACTGGTGCAGCATTGTAACAGAACAAGATGGGACATAAGTATTTACTCTTCTGTCACTATACACCACTAGTGAGTCAAAATAAGTGATAGATGATTTTAAACGCATTGACATTCCCTGTGTGGTTAGTGTAGTGTAAATAACCCATGGTTAGAATAACAAGGTCATTTTTTTCTTGCCTTTAAAATGGGTTTAAAACCAGCAGTATTTTCTTCATCTTCATCAAAACTGTAATTGTCTTCATCGGACTCTTCATTAAAACCCCAAAATTCTCCACCATTCTTTGGTGGTTTCATGCCAACTCTTCTCCACTTATCATTTTTCTGTAACCAATTATATGGATAAATTATAAATTTCTAAAACAGGTTCAATAAAACTGCTTGCTAAATATGTTGTTCGTTATGCCAGGTTGCACGAACAATCACTAAACATTTAGTGAGCTAGTAGTTCTTTACACATAGGACCAAGCTTCATACACACTTTATGCAACCGGCGCAAGCTTTATAAAGCAGAGAATTAAAACATTTAAATTTTCTCATTAGAATAAAACAACTGAAATTATTTATCACAAAATTTTACTAAATAATTAATTTTAATTTTTCTGTTTTGAATAACTTTCCTATAACTAATAAAGTTGAAGCTGCATGAAATACGAACACATGTAATAAGTATTAACAGAATAATTCAGTTATCATATTATTTAAATTAAAACTATTAATTTAGTTAACTTCAAACCCTATTAAATTGCATTGATATTTGAGAAAATGACCTGAATGAGATTATACTCATAGTAGTAAAATTGTTATAAATTGGTAACATCCTGTGACAATGTGATATTTCCTGTCAAATAAGAGAGCCATGTTGACTGTATTTTATCTAATATTGTGAACATTTTTAGAGTAACCTAACAACCGTGATATGAGATTGGAGTTATATTGTAAAAGATTTGTACTCACATGTCGTGAGGATTCTGGATGTTTAGCATGGTACATGCAAAAATATTTTTTCAGAGAACACAACGATAACACTGTACCCACACAATTTCGTGTATTAATGTGTATGCTTTTATTTGTGTCTGTAAGGCTTAATGATAATAATTCGCAGTACCAGTCTCTGGATGGAGAACGATCAAGATTTAAATATCCAAACATTAATGACTTATTCCTAAAACACCAAGTGTTAATATTTGTAACAATTAATTATAACTCATGATAGTAATTATATAAGGCTAACTTTCTATACGGCCACACGGTATGGTAAAATTGCCGAGCCAGTAAAAGAGCAGTGCTGTTGTCTATCAACAGTATAATTGTACGACAACCTGGTTTGATAAGTCGCACTAGTCCATTATATGTTTCTGCTCTCAGTTCATGAAGTTTAAGTTCACGTTGTTTGCTTATTTGAGATGGTTTTGTTTTGGTTTTATCCACTTTTTTATTGATTTCTTTTATCTCGTTTTCTCTATAAAATTTTAAACAAATTAAAAATGTGCAATATATTAAATTTTTTTTACATACACTAGAATGTATACAAAATACATGACCACCATCGTTCCAATCATCAAAAACACAATGTACATAAAGAATAACCCGTGGTTTATGGTCATATCAATCATAGTGTAGAACATGGTTATGATATGCTGTTGAGCTCTTGCAGCAATGCGCACCAATAAGCTCTGACCATGTTCATCTAACACAACTCCAATATGAGCTTCATTACTCAGAGTCCAAGCAGCTTCACTACCAAGCAGTGTATTCAACACTCCAGTCAGTTTCTCCTAATAAATAATATGCTTATTGTTAATAAAATGTTAAAAATACTATTATAATAAATATGTATTACTTTAGTCAAATCATAGTTAGCCCAATCGTTGTAGTCATCTCCCAAAAGCCATTTATAACTGACCATGATTTTATTGAGCCTAGTCAACAAGACTATATGAAGTAATGGTTCACTTGGACTTTCACTGCCCTGTATTAACGAATTAATGAAATGCGGCTGTCTCTCTCTAAACACATACATGAAGGCTAGTCGCACGTCAGGATAAATAGAACGAGCTTCTTGAGCGAAACGTCTGATAGATTGTCTATGAGCCTCATGATTAGGAGAGTTACGAGACACTAATACCAGACAAAACTGTTTCTGACCAACTGGGCAAAGAGTATCAAAAACATCTTGAGAAGATAGTCTAGGTAAAGTCAAATATTTATTGCTCTCCATTAGGTCACGTAGACCAACCATCGGTATGTAAGCCATTGAGAGATGTGCAGCTGGTTGTCTAACATTTTCTTTCAATATTAATAGAGTATCTTTATCATGTGGTACTTTATATCGGTCTCTTGTTGATCGACACTCATACAGTCCAATATTCATGAACCTAAAAAGTGTAATAAATTAATTCCAGTTTATCACAAAAAGGTTAGATACTAGATATTATTGTAAAGTATAAATCAAAAAATTACCCAAAATTAATATGGTTTCGATACTCAAGTGCGATTAAAGCATAACGTATTCTCAAAGGAGATCCAGGTTGCATAACTAATGCTCGTACATGATTATCAGCTGACCAAGTATTTAAGAATTTATCAACAGTAACATCATTGAATTCAGGAATAAGGTTTACTGGCAAACTCTTTCTTATAAAGTCTAAATGAAAAAGATCATCAAACAAAGTGTATATAGATCTAACTGTATTTTTAAAACATACTGATGATATTATCAGCACTCTGAAAAGATTCTTGATAAACTATGAGATTTGAATCTATGATTGATACTAAATGAGGAATAAACACTCCTTTAGCTCTCCAAAATGCTGAAGGTTCCATATCTTTATTCATTGTTTTAAAATCCACTCCTATAAATTAAAACATTAATTTTCATTCAATGTTTATTTTCATTATTTATAACTATATTTAGACAAGGTAACGTACCGATTGGTACGACATCTTCAATAACCTTTTTAAGAACAGACTGCGCTTTAAGAAAAGCAAGAGAAAATTCAGAATAAAACAGTATTAGTGTAAGCTTTTTGCTATTTTTTGTTAGCATTAATGAATTGAATTCACTGAAATAATATAAAAATAAAATTATTAGGTACTTGACAGATAATATTATTTGTAAAATAACTTACTCCAAATTTATTTGTAATTTTCTAAAGAATTCAAAAGTATAACGATGATGCACATTATCAAAAAAGTTATCCATGTCAAAGTCGAAAAACTGATTAAAATTGCTGGAAAAACTGTTGGTAGGTGCAGCATAACTATCTGGCTTGTCCCTGTTCGTCAATGCCTAAAATACAACAAACATATTACAATGTACAATTTTGTATTAATATTTATTTATGAAATAAAAGGCATAATAAAAATGATTCAAGTACTTCATAAGCTGTTGTTATTTCAATGAATTTGGTCTCAGCTTCAGGATGGTTGCTCTTATCCGGGTGCCTAATGAAATAAAAAATGAAAAGTTATAAATATCCATACAAGCTGCTGTAATTTTGTAAACAGTTACTGAAAAAGCATACCATATCTTCACCAGATTTCGGTAGGCATTTTTAACTTCAGCCAATGATGCGGCCTTTGATATGCCAAGAATGGCATACGGATCTTGGGTGGCGGGTTGTGCAGTCAGAACGATTGCGAATAGCACAGTAGAAATCAGCCGCCATTTCATTTTTGTGTGGAGAGCACGGATCCGATTCACGACATTTTGCACATTTGTGACTTGATAGTTGATACTCAAAACTGCCTCATTACATTGCGAATATTTTTTTTTTTTAAATTGAAGTACTCGGCAGCATAGTATATAAAAAATTGTTGATAAAAATTCGATAATTGCACCGCTGACCACACTGGTTGGATCCGATTATGTTACATTTATAGATAAGGTCAAACTGATACGGGTAACAGACCGGCAGCCGCCAGACCATAGATAATATCGACGCAACGGACGGGTCGTTGTTATCAAAATCGGAAAATCTGTCCCAGCCATAAACATAATATAGATGGACTGCGCGCCATATACTACAGAATACTTATGACTATGAGCACGAACTAAGATATCTTAATTCGTGGTTATGGATATGGACCATAATCATGATTATTAGTTGATAGTTTGTTACTCATTAGACGTTAATCGTTTCATAAAATTATTTTTTCCAACAGTTAACAAGTATTTTGCTTATAGGTAATACAATTAATTATTTAAATATGTTATGTGGAAAATATTTGTTGTTATGTGGCTTAAGTTGTGTATTCATTTTCAAATCTACAACTGTCTACGGATTAATAGATCCAATCACAGGAGCTTTGGTTGCAGGGGCTCTAATAACAGGATACTTTTTTGATAAAATGCCTAATTTTTTTGGATGTTCTAATGAATTAGAAATTAAAGGTAAGGTCAGTTTAAACATACAGTATTTTTTCTTGTGACTATAACTATTTTCCTTCTTCCATAAAATAAACTTTTTATGTGAATACTTAATAAATTTATTTAAATTTTTAAATGATTGGTAAACTCAGATAATATTTCATATGTCTGTTTCTTGAATGGGGAAAAATGTGTTCTCATTCCAAAAACAAAAGTTTGTATCACCCTGTGACTTCATAAATAGCACAAAAAAATCTAAAAATCCCGTAAAAATTTGAAATATTGTCTGAGTAAATCATTTAAAAATTCCAAAAATCAAAATTTGATGGTGAATTTTTTTAAAAATTTGTTGTAAATAGCTAGAGTAGTTTCTAAGTTATTAATATTATGTTTGTTCTAAGAATAATAATCATTAAATAGTGGGTTAGTAGTAGCGAGTAGTGCTCTTTTGTACAGTAGGTTACAAGTTGATCACTGTAGTGGGTGGTGTTAAATTTGAATTCAATGATATAAAATTATTGTGTATGGGAAACAATTCAGACCTTCAGTCTATAATATTATTACTTAGTAATTTAGTATATTTGATAATATTATTGTGATTAAAGTAATTTATTTTATTAATGGGTATTAGTACTATGCAGTAGATTTAATTCATTTTTATCAAAAAATTGTGTATAGAAAACATAACCATAAGATTTAAATTTCATGTACCCAGGAATAATATTTTTAATTTACAACAAAATAACATAATTAATTCTAATTAATTTTGTATTAATTTTTCAAATCCTAGTTATGAGAAGAAAATTTTTTAAGAATTTCTAACTTAAAATAGTTGTCCAAATAAATGTCCATTTTTACATATTTTGTCGAAATTCTATGTTTGTTTTTTGTGCCGCTTTTGAAACTAATGGGAACTTTTTACTTCCCCCCCCCCCCCAAAAAAAAACCGAATTCATTTGGGTCTGTATCCATTTTTACAAATTTTTATGTTGATAAATTAATATTAATGACTGCAATTTTCAAATCACCATGGCTCTCATATTTCATTAGATACCATTGACCATTTATCCTTAGAACACAAAGTTAAATAACACAATAACTACTGTACAAATTTTGATTCTGATATGTCAAATTTTCAGAAATGTTATCAACTGCAAAGTTTGCAGTTTAAAAGGGGGATTCTCATTTGAATATTAGAAGTTTGTACCTTCACAGCTCCACATGATACTCTTTAAGTAACAGTGGCGAAACTAGACCTCTAAAACGTGGGGTGCTAAATCTGTGAATGCATCACAGAGTTTTAGGGGGCAAAGCCCCCCACGCTTCCTGTACCTAAACCTACAATAATCAATAAATTAAAACTTTAAAATACATATTAACACACGTCACATAAATAAAAGAAAAGAAATTAATAATACTCTCTTTTACTACAATATCAATAACATATTGGTACATTTTAATTTCATAATCTTGTTAATAAATAACTAAGATATCATACATTTTAAATCAGCATCATTTTCCTGGGTTTCATGCAGTAAGTATTTATACAAGATATTTTTGGTATTTAGCTGATTTACCTAATAAATCTTTTTCAATATTCAGCAAAGATAAATTAGGAAATCTCCGCTGAAGCATGCTTGATCTTAGCCAGTTTTTTATACCCCACATTGTCGAAGAACTTCGCTCACAAGTAGCAGAGCTTACCGGAATTTTATTTGTAATTTGCAAAAGTTTGTATAAATTTGGATTTTTAATCGTTAATGTATAAAGATTAAAGATTATATAATAGTGTTTTACCCAATAAAACGTTATTATATAACTCATGCGAGTTCACCAGTTATATTGTAGTCCACCGCAGTATACATAATATATTTAGTATAATATAGTATACATATTATAGTGCTTTTTGATGCAACCTATTACCTATTGACTAAAAATAGCTCATAAGCAATATTTTTCTCCGTAATGTATACATTATTGTTAATGGTCAAACAATTATAGGAATATCCGAATATGGAATGAATTATAATGGATTATATTATATGGCTTACGGCCAAATAATTATACATTTTTTTCAGGAAATTTTCGATGATTTAAAAACATAAAATTCATGGTATTTCAATAAAATAATAAAAGTTGGATATAAAAAACAAGGGGTGCTAAAAACCTTTTTGCACCCCCCTAGTTGAGCCACTGTTAAGTAACATAAAGAAACTCATGAATTTAATAATAGGGTCTTTAAATATGTATGTATAACAATTCCAAAAGTCAAATTTCAAATAACCGCATCATTGAAGAAAAAAGGAATGATCATGCCAGGTGAATTAGACTGTTAAACTCATAATTACAAAGCTTACAAAATAATTGTAAAGAAAAATCATTAAACTAAGTATAGGTAGTTATTTAAATTTCTGATTTATAATTAATTTTGATATCATTGCACAGTGCATACTAAACCCACACAGTTATTTTAGTTCATGGTTTGCTATAACTTGGAATTATAATCATAGCCAAATAAATGTCTATATTGTATTAGTTTTTTCAATCATATGCATTATTTAAATTTCATTTTATTCTTTTGTCTCGGTGGGAGTTAGAATTGATATGGCTATTTCTTTTGCTTAAAAATTTAATCTTAAATCAAGATTCTTTTGCTTATTTATTAAGTAAATATGGTGTTAATATTATTCATTTTGTATCTATACTGTATACTATAGTGTTACATTATTCTTTATACAGATTTAAAAAGTGACATGGAAAAAAAATTTTTTGGGCAACATATTGCATCAAAAATTGTAGTATCTGCTTTGGCAGGTAATTTGCATCGTAGCAGAAATAACAAGAAACCGTTAGTAATGTGTTTTCAAGGTTCCAGTGGTACTGGTAAAAATTATTTATCAGATTTAATTGCTAGTCATATGTTCAAATCGGAAAAATTAAAAAAATCTCAATATCATGTCATTCAAGGACAAACAGAATTTCTACTGCAAACAAAAATAAACGATTATAAGGTAAATATGTTCTTTAAGTGCATAGGTATATTCTTAATGTGTTTGTATGTTAAATAATTTGTTTTAATTATTGTAACCTTATCTCCTATAAAAATTACATACAAATGTAGAATAGTAATCTTTATCTTTGTATTTATCAAATTTAAATGTTTTATTCTTCTCACTTTTCATCTTTGTATCTTTACTTTTGAATTTTTCATGAGATAATTTGAAGAAATTAATTTGAGTTACATTGTCATTATTTTATTCATCGTATGTTATATTCTATTATTTTATATTAATTGAAAGTAGTCTATTACGATTTATTCCTTTTAAAGTCTGAGCTTAGTAATGAATGTATTTATTTCATTATTATATGTTTTTTTAGTACCTGATGTTTCATTAACGAATAGTGCTTTAATTATAAAACTATTCTAACTAATTATCCAAATTCCCCATAAGTTGTTCTTATAGTAATTTTTTTAAAGTGAAGAGGTCGAGCCTTAGATACTTTTTCATTAATCATGAAAGTCAAAGGTTTAAATTTTGATGATATTTAATTGTTTCACTCTTATTTAATACTCAATTGTTTTTATATTAATTAATATTTCAGGAAAACCTTCATTCTACTGTGAAATCTGCTATAAAATCATGTGATACAAATTTATTTGTTTTTGATGAAGTCCATTATATGCCTATGGGTATACTCAACATACTAACACCTATTCTTGAAAACAATGATGTGTCAATTGATTCTAGGTAATTTATTAGTGAATTATTTTATAATGTCTGATGCTTTTGTCTAGCTTTTTAATAAATTTCAAAAATGAAAATTTTAAATGAAGTTTCTGTCACTATAAATATTGAGCAATGTTGAATCTACAAGTAATTCATTATTTAAAAAAGGTAATTTTTTTTAGTAAAAAAGGCAATAGCATTGGACTGCTAGAGTACATTAAAATTAAATGGTTGATTTAAAATTTTAAATAGAATAACTAATTGTTTTACAGGAATTCAATTTTTATATTTATAACTAATACAGGTTATACATCAATTATAGAAAAGTATTTCGATCTTTGGGTTAACGGTTTTTCTAGAGAGAATATGACGGTTGAAGATTTTGATACCATTTTACTAAAATCTGCTTTCAATGAAGATGGTATTTATTATTATTGACAATTATTTGTTATGACTTAATAAAATGTAGTCAAATTTAAATTTAATATACTTCAACTAATACAAATATGGATTTATGTTGTTCTACTTATGTTTAGAAAAATTAAAGTATTGTCTATAGTAAAGTGCAAAGCTGGGTACTAACTAGTTAGTTTTATTTCATATTAACTTTTTAACTTAACTAGTTGAATTTAATGTATAAAATAATCTTGTTAAAAACAATAAGTAACTATTTTTTTTTCGTTCCAAAAATCCTATTGCTCCGTAAAACTGCTGAGTGCCAACTAATAGTATCTATAGCCATGATCATAATTTATTAATAATGAATATTGAGTATTTTCAATTTTATGATAAAAATGTTTTACTTGTCATATTATATCTTATTCAATATTTAAATTAGTTAAGAATACACCTATTTCTTGTTATACACGTTAACCATGAGGTCTATAATTATTATGACCAATAGATACATATTATACGAATATAGTGTGATACTATTTGTATATTTCTTATTTCATTATACATTCTTTGTTCTTACAACCGATATCCAATTTGTTTCCAAGAAATAGGGATTATTAGTTATTATCTACTTACTTTAAAGATGAGACATTTGATCAAATTATCAAGTTAGGCCACCAGTAATTTAAGGTAGATACCAAGACACCGAGTAATTAATTCATGTAATACTTAACATATTTTTAACAAACAAGTTTAAATTTATTTTTTGAACTATAAAAAAAACTAACTTCTAACTTACTAAAGGAGAAGATTTCAGAAACTTACTTATATTCTAACTTAGTTAGCTTTTGTATTAAAGTAACTTCATTTTAATTAGTTGAAAAAAAATTACTAATTTGCCTAGCTTTGGTAAAATGTTGATATTTAATATTTATAATAGTTGTCTAAGAACAAAGATTATTAAGTATAAAAATAATAAATATACTATGAAACCAAATTATTGATTACATAATAAGCAGTACTTTTTGGTTTACAACTGTCAACTACTACTGACTTTGGTACATATAGATCCTGAGAGGTCACTTACTCACTGTGCTTGTTTGGACAATTTAATTGAAAACATCCCTCGATTCTTAATTGGGTTTAACCTCCTTGGATAAGTCTCAGAGTAACCTTAATTAACCTTATCTTACCTCAGGAACTACCCTGAGTTGGTTTACATTCAAGTTGAAGGATGTTTTTGTATTTAATTGTCTAGACGAGCGAATGACCACACTGCTCAATGTGTTTGTATGTACTTTTAAAAATTTTGTTTTTACTTAAAAACCTCAAGATATTTGTATGTTAATTTTAACAGGCGGGTTGCAGAAAAGTTCAATAATAGATTCCCATGTTATTGATTTTTTTGTTCCATTTTTACCACTCGAAAAAGTTCATGTGGAACAATGTATTGAGGCAGAGTTGAAAAATCTAGAAAAACATTTGGATTCTGAATTAAAAAGGTAATTTATATTTATAATAAGTTAATATAATAAAATAAAATCAGTAGATAATCAAAAATTTAATGAATCGCTTATTTATTTTTATAGATTTTTATTACATTATGATCCTAATTTATTGAATTTAAATCTACTGGCTAATTTGTTAAAATACTAAATGATCATAAATAAAAAATAAATAAATACATACTTAATATTTTAAACATTTACACATATTTCATCTATTTAATTGTTATGTACAAAAAAAATTCCCCTATATAGAAACACTAGGGGAAACATTTGTTTTCACTATACATTTTAATGTTTCATAGGCTTGAACAAATTACTAACATAAGACACAAATAGGGCAAAGGCTCTGAAAGTTAAAAATATAAAAATAACACTTTAAAACTGTTTGTTATTAATGGAATAAATATTGGTTTCTACTTGCTTTCAATAGCAACTGTAATGAATACAAATATACAATTTATTTAATATACTTTTTGTGTACTAACAATATGTTTATACTTTATAATATAAAGTATTATTAAGGGTACCGGTCCAATGTGTGGCCTACACATACATTTTCGGTCCAGTGTGCGACCTACATATAGGTATTGACCTATACTACATTTTTAATTGTTATTATAGTTATTATTTATGATTTATTCTTTAAATTTATCCTTCTTTTCTGATAAGAACTCATCATAATTTATGTCATAAAAGCATCTTTCATGTTTTATAAAAATTCGTCAAATATAGTTTGCTTGTTTGGGTGAAGAGAACCTAACCTTGTCTAGGTTATAATGTAGATGCACCATTTACTCTAATTTCATATCGCTTTTTCAGTATTTTCCACAAACATTCCATTTGTATCAGGATCAATAAACCATTTTTGATGATTCACAGTATTGTGTATGGTTAACCTTTCATTGTTTAATGACGAATAAGCTATTCATCACTATGGATTATACTTCCTAATTCTACTCCGTTTTTAATTATGGGAAGTAATGTTGCATTGTCACGTTTTTCTACGATGAATAAACATCGTTCTAAAATATTATTTTTTTTGTAACAAAGTCTAAAAACCCACAGGTCAGATACACGTACTCCATAATTTTTTGCACCCACTTAATTATTATCTTTTCTGTATCCCAATTTCATTTTCAGTTACCTCATTTGGTCTAATATCACCACATCAAAGACGACCATGGTTGTATTTGTGTTTTCCTTTGAATAATGATTATACACATCGGTCGCACATTGGCCCTGCAAAGGTAAGGACAGGTCAGTTATGAGTTGTAGGTCGCACATTAGACCAGTGCCTTATAAAGATAAGAAGTTTCTTAACATAAGTATGCTATATAAAAGTTTAAAATGCTTAGTAATAAGTTGGCCTCGGAAGATGAAGAAACGGCATATTATTCTATATTTTCTCAATTTATTGCACATCAAGCTAGAAATCTTAGCTATATAATTGTGAATTTAATAACCAAAAATTTAAAATGCATATTTTCCATGTTTTGTCAATTTTAGGGAAAAAGTGCATATTTTTTGATTTTTCTTTCACAAATTATGCATATTATTCTAATATTTTCTAAAAGAAATTGATCTTTTTCTTTTGCTGTGTATTTTTATAATAATATTGAATATAAAACCCAATATTTTTAGGTATTTATTGTTATTGTCGTAGTCGACTATTAATTTAATGACAATGGTGCAATGTGCATTTAATCTCTATCAAATATTCTGATGAACTATTTTTCCATTTCAATAAAATGTCAAAAGTGGCAAATAGTTTTCAGCTATATTTGAAAGTTTCAGTTGAGTTTCAATTGAGAAGTTTAATATGATAACGTTATTTTTCCCATATTTTCCATGAATTTTAGTGCATGTTAATAACAACATAAACTGGTTTTTTTGAAATATTGAACAATTTTGAATTTTTATTACACTTTTTTTGGTTATTTGACATTTTTTCATTTATATTTTTGGTTTTTTAGCTTTTATATCTTTGGAGCCCCAATAAGCACTATTTATTACATTATGACTAAAAAAAACAAATATATATTTATATTTATTTATTTTCTTTAGATCCGCATGTAGGGACAGGACCCAATGGTATACCATCACTGTTTTTAAAACAGTGTTGTACTGTACTTGTAAAGCCACTACATTTTATTTTCAATAAATCATTGAACCTGGGCTATTTTCTGGATTCTTGGAAAAAATTGTTTGTGACCCCGATTCATAAGACAGGAGATAAACATAATATTACTAATTATAGACCAATTTCTAAACTGTCTATTATTCCAAAAAAATTCAAAGCAATAATATCTAAAAAAATATCCATAATTGTTTCTCCTCTCATATGTAAAAACCATCATAGGTTTAGACCAAAAATGTCAATCTCTACCGATATTCTACTTTACCAATCTAAAATTCTAAAAGCCTTAAACGATCATGTTCAAATAGATTCCATCTACACCGATTTTCAAAAAGCTTTTGATAAGGTCCAACATCACTTACTAAAAAAATATCTACATTCGGAATCCATGGAAATTTTTTAAATTGGTTATGGTCCTATTTAATAAATCATACTCAAACGGTAAGTGTCATATTCACTAGCTTCTCAGTTACTTCTGGCGTACCACAGGGTTCCCATTTAGGTCCTCTTTTATTCGTAATATTTATCAATGATCAATTTTTGATAGTACGGTCGATATACTGTTATTTGCTGATGACGCAAAAAATTTTTCTACGATTTATTCTCCATCAGATGCAATAAAATTACAAAATAACTTGAATAAATTTGTAACTTGGAGTCTTCAAAATAACTTATCATTAAATATCAATTATTTAATTTTATCACTTTTTCACGTGCAGATAATCCCATTAGTTTTGAATACAAAATTGACAGTTGTTCGGTCACAAGAGTTACCTCAATCAGAGACCTAGGGATTATTATCAATTGCAATTTGCAATTTCTCTTTCATTTCTCATATAAATGCTATAACTAAAAAAGCCTTTAAAATGCTTGGTTTTATCAACCAAAATACAATCTAACTTTAAAAATATTAAGGCATTGAAAATTGTATTTTTTGCGCTTGTCAGATCACACATTGAATTTGGTTCGATAGCCTGATCACCTAATTACATCACTTCTATTGGTCTTATTGAAAATGTACAACATAAGTTCTTAAAATTATTGAGTTACAAAATAAAGGTTCCATTTATTTCAAATAACTCGTGTAATATGCGAATAACTGAATTAGGCTTTATATCTTTAGAGGTAAGAAGAAAAGTTGCAGATATTATGTTTATTTATGATTTGCTGAACGGTCATATTTTTCCCCTGAATTGCTCTCTATGATAGAGTTTAATATTATAAATCACCGTTTAAGAAATTTAAACCTATTTCATGTACCATTTTACAAAAATAATTATAGCTCCACTTCTTTCTTTCCTAGAGCATTAAAACGAGCAAATCTTATTACTGAACATGTAGATTTTTTTTATATGTCATGTAATGTTTTTAATAGAAATGTATATTTAGCTTTAAATTTAATTGTAAATTAATTATCGTTATTATGTTATTATTAATGTAATGCTGTCTTGTATTACTATTATTCATTTACCACTGTCTAATTATTATTATTTTGTAACTGTATTTTCATTATTTTTGTCTTACTTTTTATTTTTTGCTCTTATGGTAAATACTTAAAAATGTTAACCTGATACTGTTCACACAAAAGGATTATTACCCTTTTATCATACATAAATAAATAAATAAATAAATAAATAAATAAATAAATAAATATATATATAATATATATAAATTTGATATGTTGAAACATAAATTATGGACACAATTTTAATATACACTCGAACTTTACAAAATTAAAAATATTTAATTTAATATACAGTGAAAACTCTTTATAACGAAACTCTTTACAACGAAAAACTCTATATAACGTAAACATTACATAATAATGGTTGGTTTGCTATATAACCCATTAGACAATTCATTCTCTATAACGTATTAGTCACTCTCAATAACGTAACAATATTTTATGTTTCATAATACAATTTACATGTTATCGTATCTATTACATATATAAACTATAAAAATAATTGGCAATAATGCCGAGATTTCCAAGAACGATTACATTCTTTCATTATTTGTAAAAATAATGATGTGTTTGATATATAATATTACATAGGTGCATACCTTTATACATAAATAATTAAAATTTTGTTTTTTTTAAACCCTCTCTATTACGAAAACTCTCTATAACGAAAGAAATCTCTTGGTCCCTTCAGATTCGTTATAAAGAGTTTTGACTGTATTCCTTAATATAGCACATACAATAAAATATTTCTCATTATCTTCTTAATAAATTTAAATACCAATGAATTTTCAATTAATAAATTCATGTGAAATTATTAATTACAGATACAAATATATTTATCATGTGTGACAAAGATTATTTGTAATATTATGTTCTTAATATAATTATAACTAATATAAAAGTGCATCTTCTTTCAGTGAAATATTGCGGATAGTTGCATTTGGTCCAGAGCCTGAAAAGTTATTTGCTACTTCTGGTTGTAAAAGGATTAAACAATGGGTTGCAGCTAAATTATATTCTGATTAAACTGGATATTTCTAAAGAACACAGTGGGTGTTCTTGTACATAAACTTTTGGAAAAAAACCTATCTGAAAATAAATATTTTTGTATGTTTAATAATCATCAAATAATGTTAATATAATAAGTCAATTACTTTGTCTCCAATATAACCTTTCTACCATGATTTTTGATCCACTTCTTTGATCAAAATTTTCAATGAACATACTTCTTTTAATAATAACTGGTTTGATTCAGTGGGAGAAAAATGATATTTTGCCATGGCAAGTATTTGACAAAATGGCTCGTTCAATTTGATGTCCAACCTGTAAAATTAATAGTGAAGAAGACATCATACCTGCATGCCTTATCCCTGTCTTACAAATGCGTAATATAACAAATTGTATGTTCCGAATGATTCATTAAATTCTGTTATGTTTAATAACAGAGTTAGAGTAAATTAATCTACCATCAAATTTATAAGCATGAATATAATTTAGTCTATGACAGGTTTTATTTTATATTTACATTTTAAAGCGAGTAATGATCATTTTAAATGTTATACATTTGTGAGACTGAGACAAAGCATGCAGATGTGGCGTCCTCTTAAATAAAGTTACGAGTATTGTGAATTTTAATATTTTTACAGTTATGTATTATGTTAAGAGTTTAAATTCTACATTTGATCACATTATTTTTTCAAGACAAAGAAATAACTTTTAATAGTTGGAAGACAAAAGGATAATTTTATTTTAAATAATTATAAATATTTTTATATTCTCTAATTAATTACCTATCAATAATTTTTATTATTGATATCTTATTAGTTTCTTGTTTTTATTGAGAAGAGGTCTTAAACTCATGTGTTGGAGTCAATCTTACTTTATCTTAACTAATTGTATTTTAAGAAGAATCAATTGAACTCAGTTATTTTAGATTCTGAGCAGAGCCACGAATGTATTGATTGTACAATGATGTGTTTATTTTTTGTATCTGTCATCACCTTTTGAGACAGTAAAAATGTTTTGACTTTCTTCAATAGCATCTTTTCTAGTAGAAAAGTGAATCTAACTAAGGTCAAAACCCCAAATTAAAAAAATTTCAAAAGCGGCAGGGAAAACAAATAGAAAATTTAGGAGAAATGGATATTTTTACGAAAACTGGTTTTGGTTAAATTCAATTTTGGTTTTCGATGTAAATCCAAAAAAAAATACTGTAGATGCTTGAATACATATTTTACTGAATGTTTGTTTTCGCACTTTTTATACAGCATCAAAATATTTTGACTTGTTTTGAGCGATGTACAAACGTTTTCAGTTTCCAATTTTTTTAGTTTTTTTTTGTAAATGTCAATAAAATTTTATTGATTGGGTCAAAAGCGTGACAATTTAATTAAAGGCTCCTGATATATTGTTACAAAATCTGTTCAAAAATTAAACACATAGGCAAGATTTTGTTTTATAAGCATTTTTAAGTTCAAATTTTGACATAATTTATCAAATTGAAAATTTACAAGTTATTTTATTTATAAGTTATTATTTATAAACTGTTCAGCTTTTATATCTAAGTACCAAGAATTTAAACTATGTTTCACACAAGTAGTTAATTCTATAACCAAAAAAGCTGGTAAGTGGATGTCGCTCTGCTGTACAGTAGGTTACAAGTAGGTTACTCTAATGAATGGCGTTAAATTTGAATTCAATGACATAAAATCATTAAAATCATTGTATACGAAAAATAATTCTTTCAGTTTATAATATAACTTTGTAATTAAGTATACTTGATGATATTATTCTGATTAAAGTAATTTATTTTACTAATAGGAACTAGTACTAGTGTACTACAGTAAGTTAACTTCATTTTTGCCAAAAAAAAAAAAATGCATTTAAAAATACAGTGTATAAAATATAATAATGTAGTGATCCACCCAACAGATCGTGGTGTATAAGACAAGAGATGACAGGGTGTAAATAATTCCAAGTCAATTGTAGAATATTATGAACATAGACTTTATTTTGACATGTAAAACTGATAGATTATTTTTAATACACTGAAATTTGTCAGAGAGGCGACTGGCGTGAAGGTGCTCATACTGGCTCTGGTAAATCACGTCTGAATATCGGGTGGATGGGTCCCTGTTTTATAGGCCTACTCTCCACTCTTCTCCTAGTGATGAGATAGCGCTGACCCCGTTTGCTAATTGCACGTGTGCGTGGGTTTCCAGGAGACGGTTGCCCGGTCGTGTCGGTTGGGAGATTAGATATTGTTATATTTGACATTCTTATAGCTGTTTCGCGTTATAACTCTTTTTATCGAATTCGCAGAACTACGCATCTCTGAGGTCAACAACTTCCCAATGTGAATAATTTATATTAAATAATTAAATATATTATATATATATTGAATTATGTAAATAATCTCATATTATGTCCCCCTCGCTATCTAGCCTTTAATTATATGCGTATATGGCGGGACGTCAGTACATAGCAATAATAAGCTTTAAAATTTCAAGTACCCACAAATAATATTTTTAATTTACAACAAAATAACATAAATCACCAGGGGCCCATCCAGAATTTTTTTTTTTTTTTGGGGGGGGGGGGTAAATTCAAAATTTTTTAATATTAATAGGTAGTATTTATTTTGAAACCCCCATTCAAATCTAACATTTTGACGAGGAGGAGCCTAGAGGGGTGCTAAACACGTTTCTACACTTTTTCCAAGAATATAATATAACAATTGTTTTTAATTATTATGTATAATGTTAATTTTATCTAATTTGAGTAAATATAATTTCATGTAGGTTACATTTATTGCGGCCCATAATTTAATGTTTGGCGGTTGAAATAATTTCAGTCTTTCAGAGGCAGCATAATAATACGTGTTTTATACAATTCCAATATTATTATACTACTATTATATTTCATCATAATTGTTACGTAAAATATGATTTTAATTTTTGCGCCATTCGGCGCTCGCTATGGGTTGATCATAGATTTTACATAAAAACTAAAATTAAAAACAATAATTATTATTTATTATAGTTAATTCAATTTTAAATAGGTACCAATCTGGCATTCTGGCTTGCTTTTTATTTTCGATGCTAACTTCATAGTAATTGCAGAAAGTTAAATAAGTTTGTTGTTTATCAATTATAAAAAATAAAAATATAGATACTAGTCACTAGATAATAGATCAAGAGTCAATACTTCAGACCACGGACTAAGATATAATGGACTAAATATTTAGTCAAACTTTAATTATTTTGTTGCAATTTAAAAATATTACAGGGAGGATATTATGAGAGTTGTGATCAGAAATCAAATTATTGACGGAAGATATAATATCATTACTCGTTTTGTCAACAGAAGAAAAAATGGAAGGAACAACCCCCTTTTTCAATCTAACTAAATCTGACTTTCCGAAATACTATAACATATAACAAATAAATAATTATGTATCAACAAATTAAAAAAAGTAGGTATGTACATAATACCTACATCGGGAATATCAGGTCGTAACAAATAGGTATTTATTGTATCTTCAGGTCGAAAATGTTCGGCACATACATATTTTACAACTGTTTCCTCACAGTTAGCATTACTCACTGCTAATTTCCAAGCTAAGTAATTGGCTTTTGGTGCACTAAAAAAAGAAATCTTGGGATTTCTTTTTTTACTGTTGCATCCTTTTACACTGCACTTACGAAAATCCATCATTCAAATTTATTTATTAATTAAAAATTGTTTTAATAATAAATAAATAACCATTTCTAAGTGTTTACGGGGCTAAGTAAATAGCCCGCGAAAACGCGATCATGGTTTAGATTGTGACGCCAAATAAAACCACTGGTAGCGCTGAAAACTCTCGATTATACCATAGAACAATATAGAAGCGAAACTCGATCAGCTGATGGGAGTTTTGTTTCCCTATAATCTGAAGTCTGAACCTCCGAAAAACATGGAAACGTTTCCCTTATCAATATGATGTTAGACCCAAAGTCACCCGTATTATCAAAACGTTTCCGCCACATAGGCGGGGTATGCTGTGCGGGGTTGGCTTGTTTACGAATGGCTCTTAGCAGGAAAATTTTTTTGTAGAATCCATGACGTCATATCTCATGAAACTGTGATAAGGCGAACTATGATGACAATGATA